GGCAGTGGGAAGCCCCTTGGTCATGGACCCCAACAGCATATGCAGGAAGGCGAAGCGCCTGGCAGGGAAGCAGGCTGAGTTGTGCCAGACTCAACCAGAAATTGTCAGCGAGGTGGCTAAAGGAGCGAGGCTGGGTGTCAGAGAGTGCCAGTACCAGTTCAGGTACCGCAAGTGGAATTGCACAAGCCACAACAAATACTTTGGCAAAGTACTACAGCAAGGTGAGTGAAGAGGGAGTGTCTCATTTGATTACATGATGAAAACAGTTTTTGGTTTCGTTTTGTTAGATGTGTCCAACAGTATCTGTGAAATATTTACACCAATTAGCAGTCCATTAGTTTTGCTTGCAGTTTCATAAAGAAATTATTGTGTTTTTACAGTTCAGGCAAAACCACTGCTGTTTGAAAACATTTTGAGCACCTTCTACTAATTTCTATTAATCTTATGGTGAACAGAATATAGAATATGTATATAGACGTCCCTTGCAAATCTTTTCTCTTCGTCCCAGGAAGATAAAAATAGTTGAATCCCACTTCTGAAAAATGTCAGATCCTGGTAAATAGCATCTGGGTCAGAAGGTGGGAAGTACAAAGAAAGTCCGGAAAACATTTTTCTAAAACATTTTGAAATGATGACCGGGTTACAAACTTTGAACTGGAGGATTTATTTTCTATTTTCTAAATTTGGTTTTTGGCACTAGATGAACAGTCCTGCAGTCTTAATAACCTCAGTGATAGTTTGTATGTTGCAGGAAACCTAATTTCAGAGTGATGGCAATCATGATGCAGCAGCATTTACAGTATGTCACTTGCCAATTCTAATATAAAGCTGCCATCACAGGTATTATGTCGTCATTTGAAGGAATCCTTGACATTGTCACAGCATGCAGAATTGTCTGACGTATACATGAGAAGTTTCTGAGTTCACCTTATTCTGGGCAGTATTGCTGTATGATTGATGATATCAGCTTCTTATAGTGTTTCTTCAGCAGCTTCAGTAAAGTGGTTTGTTGAAGTTTAGTGAAGCATATACTTTCTTAAAGAAACTGGTTTGCAGTTTTGATACATTCCTCCTTTTGTGCCTGTTAGAACAATCGCACATGTGATTTCCATTTTCAGGCATTTCCAGACATGACTAATTGTTGAACTATTTCTGATTGCACGTTTAATCAGACAAAGTTTAATATTTGGTTTAAGATTGATCTTCTGCGCCCAAAGGGAAACTGGATTATTCCTTCAATAAGTGGATTATTTCCCATCAAGCAACATATTTGGTATCAAAACAGTCAGGGCTGAAGAAGAAAACTTTCAAGGGATCATTGAAAGGCCTGCAAGTGTGTCTTTTTCACCTGTAAGTTAGCGCCATGCAGGAAGAAAATCCTTACTCCACTTGTGCTTTAGCTATGACAGCCCACCACAGAAGAAATGCTGGCTTCTGAAAATAATTATCAGTCTGCTGAGAGTAGATCAAATATAATTGTAGGTTTAAGTAAAACTGATTAGCTTAGTTATGGCCTTTTAATGATTGGTAATGATTAAAGACATCCCAGTCTTTCCATTCCTGACCGCATTCTCAATCTACAGCAGAAACCTATCACCAAAAATAGTTAAATACACAACTAATAATCTCTCTGTAAAGGAATATGACTCACAATACCAATTCCTAATCAATCTATAATTACTTCCCTGGAGTTGATATTCGTCGTCAGAGTCTTCAAGGCCTCCCACTAGTCTATAAAAGATAAAAGCACTTGTACCACAGTGACACTGCAGAGAACATGAAAATTCTGGGAGGTTTTGTTTTTTTACAATGTGGTAAGCTCTAAGCCAGTGTGATATGACTACAAGCTGTAATGGGAAGAGAGGGTGATGTCAAACAGGAGGTCCCTGTTTGACCAATACACTTTAATTATATTGCATTAAACAGTTTAATTTAGGCCAGAAATCTACTAGACAGTGAAAATGTATAACGTCAACACAATTTTATTTATTTTTTTCCTTCGTTTTTTATTCACCAGTACCTTGAGATTTCAGTTTCCATCCACTTGGGGTCAGGTCCTTTATCTGACAGTACTCCAACAGACAAGGGCAGCTGTTGTGTTTCTGACCAGACATATTCACACTTGACTGAATCTCCTCTTCATCAGATTGGGCACGCTTGAAAAGATTACCTAAGATTGCTTTTTCCTATCATCTCCTTTAGGATCCCTTAACATCGTGCTCCAGCTCTTTGAAGTCTATAATATAACTGACGCTGGGTCACCGCTGGGTCCATGGCAATTACTGCGTTGGTTTTTCTGTGTGATTGGATTCTTCGAGAGCTGCTTGTCTCATGTTTAACTGAGATTACAGATGACCTTGTGATCGTTGTGTTGAGTTAGCAAACATGGAATTTAATATTAATTTAGACTGCCAAAAATGTGCCAAACATGTCACAAAACCCATTTTGTTCTTATCTTTCATTGATGTTGCAAAGGTGGCTTTTTTTCTAATTAATTTCACATGCAGTATTAAACCAGTCGAAACCATAACTGTCAGCTGTCAAAATCTTACAATTTGTTCTTCAGGAAACCTTTAATTTGTTATTTAACAAGAAAATAAATGCCTTTTTCTGAAAAGAAAGTAGACATTTTCAGTACCTTTCTGGTTAAAAATAAAAATAAAATAAAAAAACACACAAAAATACAACATAAAAAATAAAGTTAATTTAGCTGGTTTAAATTATTGTTTCTCTGTCTACTATGTCTACTGCAGCACCATTATTGTTAGTATTTCTGAAAGAGAAAGAATGGAGGAGTGATAGATTCAAAGATACACTGAGAAAGCGAATGAAGACTAGAAAGGGAAAGGGGGCAAGAATCTACCAGTTGAAGACAATTAATCATAAATTCCTGCCTGTCTATAAAGGAAGCCAAAGTACTCTTCTGTTTTGAAGCTTATGTCCTCAATTACTTGGATTTGCCCTCGATGGTTGTTTATCATAAGCTGGGACCAATAAATGTCAAAATAAAAACGCCTCTGTATTTATTCCTTCTAAGTGGTTTACTTAACCTCATTGACATCTTTTTAGAGATTTTTCCCTGATATGCTGGTATGAAACTTCTTCTGGCTATGTTGTGACTGAATCCATCACACTTTTGAGATTTTTGTGCATTTTTTTGTATCTATGAGGTGTTGAAATGTGTTAACTCTTTTTGACAGAAATGTTACACTCTGAGTTGTTTTGTCCTAAGATAAATCCATAGTTCGTCAGAATTTTATTGCAGGAGTTCTGCACCCTAAATCCTTTTCCATTTTAAATAGCTGTTTTATTGTGTAGGATCTGATGCTTCTGTAAAGCCAGTTTTGTGTAAAGGTCTGGAAAATCAGTAGCTTTATCGTAATAATTTTGGTGTCTTTATTTGGTATTAAGACACCAAATTTGGATTTATTACAAATAATAAATTTTATTACAAATAATAAATTCAAATTTGTTGATTCTGGAAGTTGAAGGTATCGGTCCAAGAGGGGCCCAGAGCAAAATGGACTTCTATGTTAAAATATTCTACATTTTGAAATTAATTGTGTTTTTGATGTTTTTATGGACTTGCCTGTAAAAATTGCCTATAAGAGCTAAAGTTTGTATTTTTGTTCTGCTTTGCAAAAGGTGTTTGGAAAAATAAAACCTTTTTGTGTGATAGTGTGATAAAAATTCAACTCTGTTCAGTTGGAAACCAAACTTTGCATAAACATAAGCTTTGCATTAGTTCTTGTGTCTGAGTGTTTATTAGATAACCTTCTCCAGAAACATGTTTTTTTTTAATTACACATCATAATGTGACTTTTGTGTTACAGCATATTTATAAGACTGAAACAACCATACATTGCTAATGGAGTGATGAGATCCGAGTGATAATGAAGTGATAATTGTGCAACCAGCATGACTATCTGTGTGCATTTCATTCCTTGTGATGTTTGTGATGATCACCCTGATAATGGATGGATCACATTACCAACTGTAGTGGAGTTAAGAAGAGCTATTGCACACTCATGTGCCAAGATGCAAATGTTTACTTTTTAACTTGCGTAAAAGCTGGCAGGGAGAAGTTAAGTGTACTGGGTTGAAACGTGTGAGGTCTGGAGCTGTGTATGCGTACATAATAAGGGTTTTAGGTGATTTCACAACATTGCTTACGACAGTTTCACACCTGTATTGCAGGAAATGTGTAGAAGAATGAGTGAACAGGTAGACACACGACCTCATTTTGCATCTGAATCAAGAATTTATTTTTTCTGGACATGAACCTTTCAGAAAAAAAATCCCTTTTTTCTGTAATTTCTTTGATCTCGGCTGATAAGATTAACATCCTGAAGTAGACCTGACTTGCGACGTGAATGAACCAGCATAAAATGATGCTGGTAATCACATAAGGGATGCTGTGGTTCTTCTTTGAACATCACGATAGACTGTGTGAGTGTCTGTTGCAAAGTAAATGAAAACAACTTTCCTGGGACTGTACAGTGGTTGCACAGATATAATCATGTCAAGGATTTTACATCTATAATCAGTAGATGTTAAGATAATTATCAAAGAAGTAAACACCACTTGACTTTTGAGAGTTAATTCTGCTGTGCTTGGTTGTTTTTCAGTCTGGAAAAGTAACCAGTGATGCAAACTGTGACCATTTTGGTCGGATTTAAGTTTTTACCATTGCCATAATGTGTCAGAGGTGATATCCTGAGCAAAATCTCATGTAGATCACTAATTACAGTCTAAGAAAGACAAAGTCAAACAGAGGAAGTTCAGCACACAAGATGCATTGAACTCGCAGGCAGATCTAAAGCTTGAAAATTGGGTTTCTCCACTGTCTTTAATGGCAAACAACATAAGGGTTGCATTTCCACGCCAATCTGCGGACCATGTAAACAACTACATATCTGTAATCCAGCTGCACCACTTATCCTTAGATGATATACTGATTATTATTTTTCTTTTATCCAGCGCATGTTTATGTTGAGATCATTGTTCACAAAGCATGCTACAAAGTAGTTTGTTACGCTGGACAACACAGCTCTGTTCTTCTTCACTTCTGCAGATTTCAAGACTCTGCCTTGTGCTGAAAGTTTTGGGTGTATTGAGTGAAGAGAAACAGTGAGAAAACAGGCCCCTGGGGGCTTTCTTCTACTACTGACCACCCTGTCTGACACTAAACATTCCAAAATAAAATTCAAAAACAGAAACATAGCAAAGACTGCAAAGTAGAAGTGACTTTGAACAGAACTCCAGATCTTGCAGTCTTTAGGTTTTTAGAGTGAATTGCATATCTTGAATATCTTTCTTTGTCAGTGATGATCATAATTCTTGCTGCTGTTCATACACTTTTTTCTTCTCAGTGATCATTATTTCACTCCTAATGATCCTAATGTTGTTGCCTAAAAAGTTGAAACATGATTTGAATATGTGCTAAATGCTGCAGAAGGGCTGCATGGAATTAGAAGCAGACATAGGCAGGCCCAGACACCCACCACGGCAGAGAATTTGTTTGGAATTCATGTCTGCAAGGAAAATGTGAAAACAGAGTGCCTCAAATCATCAGATTTTTGATAGCCTATTTTCCACTTCCGTCTTTATTTCTTCACTCCTTCCACTCATTTCTTGTTTTTATGTCTACTCACTGTGTGTTCTTTGTATTTCCCTTCCTTTATGTTTTAGTGAGATGATAAAAACAAACCGCAAGAAACCTGTGTAATTATTAGAGAAAATGACTAACAATTTGCATGTGTTAAATAAAACATACATTCAATTGATGATTTTCTATTTAAATTGTTTCTAAAGTGTGCCTGAAGGACATCTGGCCTGACTTTTTTCCTGTGTGGACCCTCCTTGGGTTGCTATCAACATATTGTTCTAATAATGAGCTGTGTTCTGATGGTAAACCCACTGGGATGTTTGTGAGATGACATATCTTGATTTCAGTATCTTGCAGCTCCTGAAAGTCTCAGCCTTGTTTTGCTGTACAGCAGCAAGGTGGGGTTTAGCTTAATGGCAACAAAGGGATAAACACAATACTCACACAAAAATCGTATACATTTTGCTATACACATGTTGTATATTTATACTGGAAGAAACCATTGAGTTACAATTTGCAGCCAGCTCCAAACAAGGATAAAATGCAAGATAAAAATTCCAGATAAACAAAGGAGCAGCTGACTTGTTGGAAAGGTTAAATGCCTTACTTAGAATAGCTATTTTCAAAATGACACGCGTGCGCGCACAAACACAAATTTGTCGACACTGGAAACATCTCAGGGTATCATGGTCTGCAGCTGTTATTGATATCAAGGCATGCAGGGGGTGTGCGTGTTTCATAGCTCGCCGCCAATTCTTTCTGTGTGTGTGTCTGTGTGTGTAATTCATAATGAATCCCATTCACAGAATCATGTGATATGAAGCTGGCATTGTTGATGGCTGTGACTGCTCGATTAATCTGTTCCATCGCCAACAAATAAAAGACATTCACTTGTCTCCACACTGGGCAGTTATTGTTCTATGGTAGAGTCTGTTGACAATATTTATGTTTATTAGCTGAAATTATTTTTTAACTGGTATTTATTCTAAATCTGGGTTGTCAAACTCCAGGCCTCGAGGGTGCCTTGAAAATTTTATTCCTGGGTCTTCTTCTGGTTCCTTGCCTTGTTTCTGAAATCTTGAATTAAGTGGCTGATTTGCCTTCCCATCGTGTTGTCAAGTTCTACAGTTATGCAAATTACCTCATAATTAATTTTCTGTGTTGAAGCTGAGAATCATAGCTGCGTATCAGAGTATTCCTTCATATTACTGCAGTTGCTCAGATACAAAACAACTAATCACAATGATCAAATCAAAATACTTCAACAAGCAGCAGACATCATTATAAAACAGTAGGATTGAGTAAAACACAAGAAGGCATAACGCAATAACTACTTAAATTTAGAATATATAGTAAAGCATACAAATATCATTGTTCATTTTAGGTAACATTTCATATTGTTTATTTTAGTTTTCAGTGAGACCAGTGATATATAGCTCATTTAAGCATTCACTGATCAGTGAATTAGCATTTAACCAAAGTGGAAATCATTAACATTTCTTATTTTACTTATATGTATTTTGTGCTTACCTTCCTCAAGACACTGAAGTCAGTGTTTATTGTCAATAATGTCTTCCAAAGTACATAATTACCCAGACATTTTATTTTTAATTTCAGCAAGTTTATCCACTGGTGGACTTTGTTGCCTCCTCCACCGAGCTTAGCAAATTTTCTGGGAAAAATCCTGTATATTTATGAAGATAACAAAATGCAGTCACCTCACAACATATTATTCAAACATCTCAGAGGACTTCATTTAGTATTACTGGGAAACATTTGCTTGCTTTATTTGGTTTGGCTGTTATTGTTATGATTGTCATTGTAATTTTAATAGCATTTTTCTATTTTTATGTGAATCTGTACTATGAAACAGGTCATGAAAAATCCTACCATCATGAGTAAAACTCTGCAAAGAGACTGTGGAACCTTTCTGTATAGCCAGATAAATATGGCTGGTATTTTGTTGTCAAGAGAATAACAATAGCTTCAATAACCGTGGCTAATGACGTGTTGAGCTGAGGTAGGAAGATGATGCTAATGCCACTGAGGCAGACACATGATCAATTTGCAGTTGTAGTTGAACATTCTTTCAGTAGGGAGTGTTAAGCTCTGCACTCAAAATAAACCACCAGTTGTGGTGCTCCTAAAAGTACTAGTGTATGAATATATGTGTATTAGAAGGAAACAGCTGTCCTCACAGTGCTACAAATCCATTAATGCTAGAGACTCTAGCTATGAACCAGGCTTTATGGGAAAGTGCTTTTATCATATTCCTGTATTAGAAGGAATGCTCTTGATTTGCTAGATTAAAAGTTAATAAAATGATAACATTTTTTCTTATAATGTATAATGACTTAATAAACGTTGTAAAAACCATTTCAGTCTTTGTTTTGGTTAACCCCCCTCTCCTCTTCCAAAATAAAATAAAAAATCAAGACAAATAAATTAGTCTGCCATTGAAACTTAATTTAATTTAACACAAAGCCAAATATTCGATAAGTTTATTATATGAAAACTGTCTTAAATTTAGACAAAATAATATCAGGCTGCTGAGAGGTATTCATTTAAATTGGTTGGGTTTCCATTTGCGTAAAATACGACATAAATGCAGCATGGCATGGAGGCAATCAGCCTGTGGATGTGCTTAGGTGTTAGCTTCTCTATGGGGAAATGTGAAGTGGCTTATAGCAGATAATGCAGCAAGTATTGGTACTTTACCAGTGTTGGAAGGTGATCTCCGTCAAGCTTGCCAGCAGAAGGAAGTGCTCTAAAATTCCCATCACAAGACCTTGATTTCCAAGCTGTACTTTTATTATTAAAAAAAAATGTGTGCAAATCAAGGAATGCAACAGTTGTTGCCCATATCTTGGATACATCTTTGTGTTGCAGGTGTTGAAGTACTGGCTCCAGCTGCAGCCCACGCCTTGTTGACCTCTGCTAGACTCTTGAAGAGGTTTTGGTTCACAGTCCTCTCCAGGCTGTGGTTATCCCTGTTGCTTACACCTTTTCCTACAGCACTTTATTCCATGTGGAATACTTTCCCCTAGTGTGCTTAAATACACTTTGACGCTGATCTTCTTGTGGGAAGTGTAAGGGACTGTTTAATGAAAAACTCTTCAGTTGTTGTCAGCCAGAGCAAAGTGAAACCACAGTCAAATTCCTTTTCTATGTACATAAAACTGGCGAATAAATCTGATTCTGATTTATTGGTCACAACATTGCCAGAAAAGAACAATTTTGTGATAAAAATGTTTTTATTGGTCTTATGTAATATTCTAATTCCTGGTAAATTTTGCACTTGCAAATGTGCAAAATAAAAAAATTAAATATATGGCTTTAGGTGTTATGAATATATGCAAATCGAATGCAAATACTGAGCTAAAAACAATCTAATTGGATTCTAAATGATTAAGATTCATTTATCTACAATACCGTGGAGAAGTCACCAGTCCCTCACAGGGCACCGCAGCGACACAGGATGTTGGTCTCTCCAAATGCAGAGGAATTTGGAGAGACCAACAAACTTGCAGAAAAACCCCAGGCCAAGATTCGAACTGTCTTACTGCAAAGCAACAGTGCTACCAACTGTGCCACTGTGCAGCATGAAAATGAAATAAGATTGATTTGTAAAAATGACTTTGAGTGTCTTGACGATTTTTTTAAGTATGAATTCAAGAAAAACTGAATTTTTTGAACATCCTTCCAAAACAATGGTTTTGTTTTATTCTCACCTACCTTTTAGACAGAAACCAATGTCATTGCATATTCCATGTTTTCTTAATGTCGTGTGGCATTACCACATAAGTCGCCTTTCAGCACATGAAATAGAAACAGCTAACCTGCTTTCTCATGGTCTGTTCTGCAGATATCCGGGAGACAGCATTCGTCTATGCCATCACAGCAGCAGGGGTGACACACGCTGTGACCCAAGCCTGCAGCATGGGAGAACTTCTTCAATGTGGATGTGAAGCGACCAGAAACAAGGCTCCTCCAAGGCCGCCTTCATCTTCCTCATCTGGGGACGGGGTTAAATGGGAGTGGGGCGGTTGTGGCGATGATGTAGAGTTTGGTTATGAAATGTCCAAAAAGTTTATGGATGCCAAGAGGAGGAGAGGGAAAAGTGATATCAGGACACTCATTAACCTTCACAACAACGAGGCTGGGAGGCTGGTAAGAAGCACGTTGATGAGTTCCTATTTTTTTCGCTTAATTATTAGTGTGGCATGCTTTGTAACTGCTACTGTGTTTAACGTGGATCGCATGTTTCAAAGATGTTGCCTGTTCTTTGGAATTCATCCTTCATTCCTCAAACATGCAAAAGAGAAAGACAGCCTGTAGCTGTATTTGTGGAGTACCGTAAGCTGATATTTTTACAAGAATCAGATTTCTGAAACAAAAAAAGAAGAGCGTGCCACATATTTTGCATTTAAGCCTTCGAGGCAAACAGCTTTTACCATTTTCACAGTCACTGAAGGAAATTTAACTTCATTTCACAAGTAATTAACTATTGCTATGGTAGTGATTTTTTTTCTGTCTTCTTGTGAAAAAATGTTGCACAAGAGCCACATTCAGTTATTAAGTTAATTTCAAAGGAAAGTACAGAGGAACGAGGACACAAAGGTTTTTGGGATGTGGTCCAATTAAAGCATTAGTGACAAACCATTTTGAGCATTAAAAAAAAGGCACACTAATTCCCAGAGGCTGACAAACAAGCGTGCTGCGATGCGTTCACATTTCTGTTTGTGTGCATGCAAGCATACAGCTTTACCCCTTTAGTTAGAGAGTATATGCCTAAATGGACAGGTCTGCGTGCGTGTGTGTGTGTGTGATGGGTTAATTATGTGCAGTATAAGTGAATGATCTGTTGTCAAGGCTTGTTAGATGTAGGAAGGCCAGAGGCAACGTGGATGGGAAGGGGGGTGGGGAAAAATTCCTTTGGAATAGCGTCTGCTTTTATCTTACCTATCTATCAGTTAGTGTTTGTGTGTGCTGGGTGTGTGTGTGTGCGTGTGTGTGTTTGTGTGATCTGATGGCTTTGTGTGTGATAAATTATGTCAGCAGAATAATAAATTTTAAATTCCTTAGTGGATTTGTCATTTGTCTGAAGCGAGTGTACCTCCATTTGAGGTGCAAGTTATTTGCTTTTTATGAAGTTTTTCTCTCCTGAGGGTTTTTTTTTCACCTGCCTGCTGTCCCTCACTTCTCTTTTCACACCTTTTTCCCACTAGGCCGTGAAACTCCACATGCGGACTGAATGCAAGTGCCACGGACTATCAGGCTCATGCACCTTGCGAACGTGCTGGAAAAAGATGCCTCATTTCCGTGAAGTGGGCGACCGCCTGCTGGAGCGCTTCAACGGTGCTTCCAAGGTGATGGGCGGCAACGATGGGAAGACCCTGATACCCGTCGGCCAGAACATAAAGCCGCCGGACAAGCAGGACCTGATATACTCTGACGAGTCTCCAGACTTTTGCCTTGCGAATCGGAAAACGGGCTCGCTGGGAACAAGGGGGCGCATGTGCAACAGCACAGCCATGGACATCAGCGGCTGTGACTTGCTGTGCTGCGAGCGAGGCTACAGGGAGGAGACGGTGGTGTTTGAGGAGAACTGCCTGTGCCGCTTCCATTGGTGTTGCGTTGTCCAGTGTAAAAAGTGCATGGTGCGGAAAGAACTTAGTCTGTGTCACTGATGAACTGAGGTAAAGAGTATTCATATACTTTAATTATAACCACTTCTGTTACTTTTTAGGTTATTGCTTTTGTACTGTTGATGTGAAAGAAGGAAAGGATGTAGACTTCCATGGTTATTCATTTTATATATAAATATTTTTTTTACAGTCAAATAACACATGCAACACCTTTGATTTGACATTTAAAATATTGTTGGAGTTCTATGAGTTTTGAACAAATTGAAAACTTTCCAAACCACCTTGTTTTTTTTTTTTTTTTTTTTTTTTGTCTGCGGACCAAAGAATGTTCTCTTCCACTAAATAAAAGGTAGAATTTGTGGAGGGTCTATTATTGACAAGCTGGGCAAGTTTAATAACTGGTTCACATGGTGGGATTTTCAAATCTCAGAGACTCCTCTTAGGTAATAACAGGTTTGGACCTACATTATGTGGCATACCACAACATGGCAAACATACCACACAGACTACACTCACAAACATTCAGATGTCAGATGGAAAAACCCACAAAACGTGAAACATGGCTGACTGGGAAGAACCAATGGCAGTAGTTTATGGATTACATTTAGCAGAAAAACAAAAAAACAATAAAACAGAATATCTCCAACCTCTGCCTGACTTTCTGGTGTACTGTGGCAGTTTTGTTTTCTGTATTCTGAATTTTCCTACATGTTTCTGTCATCTTGTGTTCTGATTGGCTACATGTCACATTCAACAGGCTGCTTATCGACAGGGGACACCCTACATCACAAGTTAGAATATTGGGCCAACACAATCCAACATGTTGAATATCCCCGATTTGAGGTCAATCCAGTCCTGATGTGTGTAGACCAAATAGTTTAGATCACTCTTAACAGACCACACACAATGCAGAAATATCTCATAATATTATCTTCAGAGCCACCACAATATCCAGAGTTTTTAAGATTGTCAAAAGGTGAAAGATCAGGGCAAACATTTTTATCAATATCTTGCCGTGTGAACCAGGCTCAAGTCTCCTCCCTCCATAACATTTATAACAGAGCTCAGTGTAGCTGTTAAACCAAAGAGGTGTCCGGATCAGTAAGATGATTTCTCTGAGGTATTCAATACAAATAGGCAAAGAGCCACACCAGTTATGATATAAACCTGCAAGGTTGTAGAGAGTCTGTTTTATTTATTTAAATTTCTTCATGGACATTGTGGTCTACTTTCAATATGCTGTAGGGTAATAAAAACATAAAGCATTATGGATATTAATGTCGACATTCAATTTCTTTGTTATGTATTGATGGAATTACTGGTATGTAGCATTGTAGTAATTTTTTGTTTTCTATAAATCATAAGTAACAAGAAAAACTCACATTTGACAGTTGAAAACTACATTTGTCAGATATTTAAATGTTTGAATTATGTATTTTTCTCTTTAAATATTTGCAGTGCAAAGGTATTCATGCCCCTTGAATATACTTTTATACTTTTGATCATTTAAAAAACTCTGACTTGGCAGAGATTTTATGTGCTAGACCAACACATTTTAGCGCATATTTGGAAAAAAGGTAGCAAAGTTATGCATTTTCAATGTTTTTTACAAATACAATGCTATTTGTGTGATGTGTATTTCTTTACTCTGATACATATAAATAAAGTTTATTATCTATAGAGGTCCCCTATTAAATAGTCTCCTCGCATTTTATCTTAGCATAAATACAGCTTAAGGTGAAGACCTTTTAGGTTTGTCAGAGAAAAGTCCATTGATTGTTCAGTCTACAAATCTGGCTTATTTGTGTGTTCGGATGGCCTAATCAAAGGCCATACCTAAATGTAATTCAGAATCTCTGGCAAAATGTTGCTCTTAACAGTTTCTAATCCGACTGACTAATATTACAAAAAATAAGCAAAAATCTCTGACCTCAAAACCAAGATGATTTAATCTGTAAATATAGTGATAAATGGTTCTAAAATGCATTTATTCAGATTCAAATTTCAATATGTTTTCCATTCTTTTTCAACTCTTCCATTTTAAGTGTCTTTGTGTTGGTCTGTTGCATAAAATCTCCCAAAACGCATTGTGGACTCTGTGGCTGAAACACAACAAAATGTGAAAAAATTCACGAAACATAAGAAAGGGACAATTTTATTTTACCTACAGCAAGAGTTTCTTCAAAAGACAATAGAAAGACCAATCGATTCCCATCTATACATGTAAAAACATTCTTAAAAACATTTACAGGTGTGTCCATGTGGCAGGAACGTGGTTGGCGTTAATCAAATGGGCTAACCAAGACTGACTTTCAACGTCTTTTATTTTTAAGGCTTTATGGACTAGAAAAGTAAAGTTTTTGACATATTTCACCTGCAAGGACTGATCAACTTTAAGCAGACCAAACAAATGTTAAGTAGTGTATTATTCAGGATCACAACAGAAATTTGTACAAGTCTCCTGCACATTTTGGCTGTAAAGCAAATGAAAAACTTCTCACCTATAACTCATTTACATTTACAAAAACATGTAAAATTGGTTGTTTCCTCAGAAGTAAAAGCGGAGCCCTTTTTTCTTTATGTTGTGCCATCAAGAAATCATTTCTGTTGGTTATTTTTCATTTGATTTGTCATACAGAGCTATTAAAATAATGCACTTTGGTTGTTAGCTGTTTTTTTGAGACTGTGCATAATGTATGTGTGTCTGTATGCTTGTGTTTGAAAATTTGTACTGAAAAACATACCCACGACTATGAAAGTTGGCCAGTTATGAGCATAATCTTCTGTGTAGATAAAAAGTGTGCCAGTCAATGAAAACACACCTCCCATACGTAACAGGACACTTTTAATCGCTGATTGTTTCATTAGAAGAGTGCTTCTCATAAAACTATTATGTCATGTTATTTAGACTTTCATGGTCTGTTACGTACACAATATAATGTATAATGAACCCATTGTTTCAGCTTGTTCTATAAAGGGTTTTTAAAGTTGGTGTGGATGTTTTATATTATTTTGCCATTAGTCAGTTACCTCTGTGTTTTCTCCTCATTGGTTGTGTATGATGACTCATATTTGAATGATGGCTTGAAGTTATATTGTTAGAATCGCACAGAACCATTTTGGAGGGCCAAAAATGATCAGCTTTGTTACAAACGATTGATTATCTTGCTATTAAAGTCTATTTTGTCAATTAACTGTTAATGTCACTTTAATTTAAGGTTACCGTCAGTGTTTATTTAAAAGACTAACCATTGATTATGATAATAGCTTTAAAATAAACCCTGCTACTTTCATGTAGTGTGTAAATTGGGGTGATAACACAATGCACCAAGGATAAACATTTATATGCAACGCTAAACAACAGACAGCAAGGTTTGAGTATACATCCTGTATTAGTACACAATGTGATGGACAAATTGTGTGCATCATTGGGGAAAAGGGTGGTGCTTATATCACCAGTGGTTGCTAGTTAAGACACCCTGAACTGGTATTATACCATGAATTATACCATATTGTACTTGTGTGTCCTCACACACACAAGGGCAACTTATAAAGATTAATTATTCCAACAGTCATGTTTCTGAGCTTTGGGCGGAAGCAAGACAAGGCTGGGATTTGAACCCATGAACTTCTCACTGCAAGACAAAAATGCCACCAATTGCTCCATTGTGCAGTGGATCCCTTAACCATTTTTTTTGTCTAGCATTTAATCAACTTTTTAATTGTTTTCAGATCTGTTAGAATAACCCAAATTATACAAGAAAAAAGTAGGAAATTGGCAAGCCTGAGAAGACGATCCCATCAGTAAAGTTTGGAGATGGAAGCATCTCCAAACTTGTGTGGAAGTTTTGTTGCAGGACAGACTGGTACATTTTACAAAATAGATGGAACTATGAGAAAAGAACATGATGATGAAACTCTATGAAAAACAGTTCTCTCCTTGGTGGTAGTGACAACCTTTTCAGAATGTCAGTGTTCTTCTTAGGCCTCTAACGAGCCATCATTTGATCCAGGTGCGTTGAATCAGGGAGAGAACTAAAACATACAGGATGCCGGCCCTTGAGAACTGACTCTGGGGACCCCTGCACTAAAGCAACACTTCAAGACATCAGTCAGACGGTTTGAAGTTTGGGTGTTTGGACAGTGACCCTTACGGCACCACCAATATAGATACAAGGGTAAATAATACAAAAAAGTCTTAACTGCTTTCAATAACTTCTAAAAAAGTAAGTGACAGGAATTTAAATTTAAACCTTGATTATGACCAGTATATAAACTTGGTCATAATCATAGCATTTTATGACCAATGTGTATAATTAACTGACGTGACGTGAGAATCCAATGTCACCAAACTCAATCTGCTCAGCTCAAAAGTGGTAAAGAAAGAAATAGCTGATTCTCATGCAGAAATAAGCAAGACATCTGCAAAGCTCAAGTTCTTCTGTATATAAAAAAAATTCTGCTGTTATTGAATGTTGTCAATTTTATGATTAAAAACCAGATCTTTACATTCACAGGCCACCCAACAAGATGAGATTTGTTCAAGTGTTTATGCTGCAGAATTGAGAAAAATACAAAGTCATGGAGGATGGGTGAGATGGAGGGCAGCAGGCCTGCCTCTGTTTGAGCTGTACAAGTTGACACAAGTTCATATTTTCAAGGAATTTTCTCCTCAATGGTGTGTCACACTTTGGCCAGGGGTTGTGCTTAAGTCATGGCAATGAAGGCCAAAAGAAGAGCAAAATGCCAGGGGGTACTTAGCTCCGACTGGCCTCTCAAACTCCTCTCCTCCGGGCTTCAACCTGCACGAACTTTTGAGTGTTGGGTAGGCAAAGCCAGAGAAAATAGACAAGCGAGTGGATAGATTTATTGAAGCGTTGGTATAAATATAGTCGCCTGCCGGCATCTGTGTGCATATGGCTGCCTGCGTGTGTGCGTGTGTGTGAGTTTAAGTCTGTCGAAGAGCGTGGCCAGGCCATGCTGAGAGTATTTTTCCATGTGGCCCTTTGAGGAATGCACGATCATCCCTAAGAGAGATGAGTTTTTGTCTCCACCTATGTTGACTGTTAAGTGCTTGCATAAAAACACTGGCTCATACAAAGCATTAATGAAGGGTTACCACTGTAAATGGGTGTACAGTATTATGTGGAGACAGTAAATCTGTCAAACAAATAGTGGCTTGTCATTGCTCATCAGCCACAATGTAGCCTTGGTGGTCTGCTTTTGTTTTCCATGCACTTACATCATAAAATGTGTATTTACTTGCTTAGAACAATGGAATGATTAGAAGACAGTTTTCATAGAGATTTTAACAAAACAATAAAAAAACAAACATTTTCTTTATTGTGAAATGAGTGACAAGATTTGTATCAGTAAACATAATTTTTTTCACAAATGTTTTATTGGAATGCTTCATGTTTCTAAACCAACATGAAAGATCTTTTGGGGAATGTGCCTACTAACTTTTAGTGACACATTTTCTAATTTCTGTCCTCCAAAAAGAGGTTAAAGTCAGTCAGATAGGATAGAGAACATATGGGAACATAAATTTTCAACAAATTCTCCATTGAATTTATGTCTGGACTTTGACTGGGCCATTAAAACAATACACTGTGCATGAAACTCTTTCATTAACTGTTGGTTTGTGTTTGGGGTTATTGGGATGCTAGAAGGTGAATCTCTCACATTTTTCTTCCAGGTTCTTTTTGCTGGGTGACTCTGTAAGACACTATCAACAATGACTTTCATCTTAGTTGTTAAAGACAAAGGTTAGAATGTTGTCCTGTCAGCAGAATCCTCCGTCTGAAGTGTGGCTCTTCGTAGCTCCTCCCGTTGTTACCATTGACCTATTGGATGATCTTGATGTCTAATAAGACAAATTGTTTGAATGATCAAGGAGTAAGAGGGCTTTTACAAGGCACTGAAATAAACTAACCAAAAAGAGAAAATTAGTTTAATACACAGAAATAAAGAAAAACAGATGTTGACAGAGTGAGCTGAGGTAACTTAACACTATAATGCTCCTCTGTTTGTGTGAACTCTCCCCTAATGCCTTATCAATCTAAAAGAGAGATGTTGCTTACACAAAGGGCACATCTAGAGATCAGCTCTGTGTGGGACTTAATCTGATACCAATGACTGTAATTACAGGACTGGGAGAGACCGACACACACTGTGAAACATGTTCAACAAGAGCTGTGAAATGAAGCAATCTTGCATATTTTGCATGTAAAAAGTGCACTCAAAGTTGTTTTAATCACGAAAAAATATAGACATGCACCTCCTCAGAGTCACGCATGATCAAACTAATGCACGTACAAAACCTCCACGTTGGCTTGCGCACTTGGAAGAGACAGTGATCTTTATGAGTTAATGCAGGCCCTGGAGGTGATGGCTCAGCTGCTGCCTTAGTTCCAGAGCCCACCCAAATAGGTTTTCAATGCTTAGAGACATAATAGTCCATTTTCTGCACTACGGTACGTCTTTAACTTTTAAGCATTGCTTGCCTCGGGATCCTGAACTGTCATTTACTGTACACCCAAACAAGTCTTGGGGATTGGACTTGACTTATCTTGCACAGGGCTGTTCCTGAACATGAGTGGCGTGCTAAGCTGGATAAATTGCTTTTCAGATAAACCCCAGCTAAAGTAGTTTCAGTTTAAAACGAACTTTGGCAAAGTAACTGCAATCATTTTAGAAATATCCTACATGGGAAAATGTGAGAAGTTTCCTCAAGGAACCTGTCATTGTTGCGACATCCTGAAACAACACTCGCTGCTCTGAGAAAGACTCGCTGACCCACATCATTGTGGTGGGTGGACAAAGAGATGACCTCGCAATGTATCTTTTTTACTCATCCTCTCCCATTTTTCTAACTAAAAGCCCCCATTTCTCTTTGGATTTTGTCTCTTTCTCTCTTTCAATTGAAAGCCCTCCTTTGAATTGTGCCATTTATCAAACTCTATCTTCCACCCCAACTTTTCTGCTCTTCCTCTGTTATCTAGGGATGTGAGTCCGCTGCTGCCAGAAGTTGGTGGGAGACCGAGGGCAGCTGTTGTCAGCTGTGGCTGGTTTGGCTCAGGGTCCATTCCTGTGTGAAGACGGGGCAGGCTTCTTTCACTCCTGGACAGAGATAATAAACATCGCTGTTTGTGCAAAAACACACTTGAAAAGCCTTGAAATGAAGTGAGCAGAAAAAAGCTCACCAAAGTGCTCGCACATGTGTTGGGGCAAACTGTGATGAGCATAAGAAGCATCTTTTCCCAATTTTTCCCAACAGGGCTGAAGATAAATGAGCAACAATCTCCAAGAACAAAGAACAAAATTCCCTCTGTGTTCACTAAGGATCTGTGACGGACCCTGCTACTTTCCATAAAAAGGAACTGCACAGTTTATGTCCAGCATGGCAAGGCACTAGCTCAGCAGGATTGAATAAAATTTAGAGATTTCAACCAATTACATCCAGACATTTACATTCACTCATCATCAGCATTAATTGCACAACAGTTTGGGCCTCCTATCGATGCCTTTAAACGGAGCTATTGCAATGATTTAAGAATCAGATGCACATATTTTAAAAAATTTGGATTTTTTTCTAATCCCCACAGATATGAAAGCAAATTGCACATATGCCACATACTTGATGTAGCCATCATTAAGCTTCCAGCATAACTGTGGTTAAGTATTTAAGTGCTCGTTTCGTCAGTATTGGTGGAGTTCTTTAAAAATTGGTTTGCTTCCTGACTTAGCTCCAACCTTGAAATGTAGTTCATACGTTTTCAGTAATATAGGGATTAGAGAAGTTTACAGTCATCTTAATGACATCCAATCCAAAACCAGTATTGAGAATCACTCTCCAGTTGGAATAGACAACTTTGTCAATGTTTTCCCACTATGATATAAGCTGCAACAAAAAGGTGGTCAATAGGGGCTTTCAGAACTAACAACACTGGTAATCCTTGAGCATGGTGGTGGCAGCATTATGCTTATGAACTGGCTCACTACTACTGGTGCTTGTGAAGTGTAGGGACTGGGCTCAGCTCAAATTCACAATTGCAGTCTTTGTCACAAGCTTAGGCACCACAGCTCATTCTAGTAGAATAATAACCACATGAATAATTTTGCTTTAGAATATACCTAAAACTAACCTTCTGGAATGGTT